TTTTACTTGAGTAAAGAAGTTGCTTCAGTACTTCTACTGGAGTATTTTTTAACCCAGCTATCCATACCTCTACTTAAGTAAAGTGTGTACTTTTGGCACCTCTGCTATTATTTAACTATTATCATTGTAGATTTGATATCGGTGCGCTATGAGCGCACCTGTCACCAAATGCAGCGGTTTGATTTGTCACATTTATTGTTCATATGGAAACAAATTTAAAAATCTACCTTTATCTGAAAAATAAATGCTGCAAGTTTCATCAGGCGAAATGACTCAGTTGGTGTGAACAACTGCATTAAGAAAATGTGGGTCTTAAAAATATTTTTACCGCACAAAATATTTGCACAAATTTTACCTGTCCAGTGTGTAGAAGTGTCAAAGGCCAATACGTGGATCAAAACTCCTTTTTGATCCACTTTGATCTTATGTGGGGCAGACCAGCAAAACTGCCCTTTCTGCCATTTAACAGAAGTTTAACTGCACATTTAATTCCTTATATATCTCATATACAAACTATTTTAACAGAAAGAAATCTGTCATCACAAGTCTTAAATTTTAAAGAGTAAATGTGTAAAATTACAGAAATCTATAACTGAATAACTTTGTTTAAGTAGGGATGACCATGGGGGACATCTTTATCAGCAGGAAAAGCTGTGAAACTTCTGAAAATACAATTAAAAGTCCAAAATTTCTTTTCTGAAGACATCCAGTGGGACGGACTGGAGGCTTTAGCGGGCCTTATGTTTGACACTGTGCCTTAATACCTACTTTCCCCTACACAGGTAGACTTCCAGCGGCCAGTTGTGATCAGCCAGGTGGCAACTCAGGGAGCCAAGCAAATGTTCTCTTACCAGTATGTGGTCAAATATTTGATCTCCTACAGCAACGACCGCCGGAAGTGGATCTTTTATAAAGGCGACAGTGAAGGCTTTAGAAAGGTGGGGGGGAAGTTTGATCACTTCCTTTCTTTAATGCAAAGACCTACAAACTGGACAAGCTTGGGAGCAGCTATCTAATTCTCTCCCTTTGTGTCTTATCCTCTCTTACCAGGTATTCACTGGTAACCAGGAAGCCTATGGGACAAAGACAAATATTTTCTTCCCTCCCGTGATTGGACGATTCATTAGGCTTCACCCCATTGAATGGTACAACATGGCAACAGTCCGCATGGAGTACTTTGGCTGTGAGCTTGATGGTAAGCCGGTACAGTAACAACCATTTTAAAAAGAAAAAAGGTTTGGACACTGTGCATTGTAAACCCCAGACTAAATGCATAAGACTTTAAACTGGCTGTAAGGGATGCTGTGAAAATTTTAAAAGTGTATGTTATGATCAAGTGAAAGGTCCTAAACATTTCTGATCTCCTGCCTCAGGCTGCTCAGTGCCTCTTGGGATGGAAAGTGAAGCTATAGGGGACATTTACATCACAGCCAGCTCTACAGCCACTAGCTGGTACAATGGACCCTGGAAACCATCACTCGCACGCCTCAACAGACAAGGTGCCGTCAACGCGTGGCGGGCTATGGTAAATGTCCTAATATTGCCGTGATAGATAAAACAGAAGTGCATTCAGATTTAATGTGAGCATCGCGTAAAAACCAGTACACCTACAACACTTAAAAACCCTTAAGAATTTGCCAGTTCATTAGCATGCAGATTTTTCCTGATTGCCTCTCTTGTTTCTTCTCCTTCTCAGTATAACAACATGGACCAGTGGCTTCAGGTAGAACTGCCTCAGATTAAAAAGATCACAGGTGTCATAACCCAGGGAGCCAAGTCTCTGGGGAAGGAGATGTATGTCATGTCCTACATTTTGCAGTACAGTGACAATGGGATAGAGTGGAAAGAGTACACGGATAGTGAGGATGAGCCTGCCAGGGTGAGCCGTCCAACATGTTGAGCAAGTAAACTTGTGTTTTCACTGAGTGAAGTAAAGAAGTGATTGTAAACAATTCCTGTCTCTCTGCTCACATCAAATCCAGGTTTTTGTGGGAAATACAAATAATAACGGCCACGCCAGGAACTACATCTACCCTCCCATTTTCTCCCGCTTTATCCGAGTCATCCCCAAAAGCTGGATGACCTCCATCACCATGAGAATTGAGCTGCTTGGATGTGACTTTGAGTGATAATAGATAATAGATCATACAGGTCAGCTCAAGCATGCTCATGAATATGCAAATAAATGGACATGAAGCTAAAAAGGTAACATAACATAGAAATACCAAATCACAGCTAACATGAAAAAACTCACACATGTTTGTTTCAGACTATTTGCCAGATTTGTCTTGTAGCTTGAGTAACTCAGTGAATTGTCACTTGTCACTATGATTTTTTTATTTTTTGGAAGTTGCAATCAAAGTAGTAAAAAGTAGTAAAAATGTAATGAGTAAGTAGGATTTGTGTGTTTTTGAAATACTAGTTGTATTTTCAAGTTTATATGCAGTATTTTATCAGGAACAAATACTGATTCATGTAAATATGTAAGCAGAGAACGAATATGTAATTTATTTCTAATAAATACAATATGCATTGTTTTTATTCGGTGTCATGTTCAGTGATGGATGGACGGTTTGCATGACTGAATACGCTGTACAAATGGAGAGCCTTGGTATCCCAAGCATGAGTGTGGGAACGCTGATATCTTCTCATGGTGTCCTGAAGGGGTCACTTTTAACACCTCTGCTGGGGCCAAGCTTTTGTTAGCAGCACAAGAGTCAACAGACACGTGCAGCTGCACACACATGTTGTGTTTATCCATTTGCTGATCGTGTTAAACGGGGCACCAGAGGTGTGAACGTCTCAGCATGTTTGGATTACTTTGCTACTGATCTATGGAGGCAAATCAACTCACAGATAGCCTTATTGGACACCTGCAGTCTGCCTGGGAGCAGCTGCTTAACTGTGTGATTTGGAAATAATAATGTATGTTCTCCCCGTCTTTGCGTGGGTTCCCTCTGGGTACTCTGGAAATGAAAGCAAAGGCGATATATTGAGAGCGCCCTCCTTAAATTGTACTTGCTGATGTAGATTACAGTTCAGTTCAAAATACAGGGAACTGAGGTGCGATATTGTTTTGGGACTGTTGTATTGCTGAGCAAAGATCAGCCGCAACTGTGAGATTCCACCACCAGATGTCACTGCAGTTTCATGATGGCTGAAAATCAGACCTAGACAAAATAAGAGCCCCGGAGATCCTGGAGATCATACAGTGCAAAACGAGCTGTCTCGTTGGATTATGGAGGTCCTATCTAGTGATGGGATTTCCGTCTCTTTTTAGAGAACCGGCTTTTTCAGCTCGGCTCACTAAAAAGAGTCGGCTCTTTCAGCTCCGAACCAGCTCTTCAGGCTGTTTTGTTGCTTTAATTTATTTATTATTAACAATAATATAAAATTATGCACAAAAGGACAAGTTTTGAACATGTCAAAGATAAATTTTACTAAAGAGCAGGGGAAGAGTTGGCTGCCTTTAGAGACCTCTTTGCCCAGAAAAACACAAGCACACATATATATTCAAATAATTTTTAAAAAAAAGTTCATTTACCTGTTACTACCACACACCAAATCCGGTCGTTGGTACTTGCTGGCTTGTGTAGCCACTAAATAAGAAAAACCTCAACACTGCACGTAGCATCCTGGAGCACTTCTGTTGTTTTTTGTACGTGCTATGGAATTTTTACGTGTTTTGGAGTTTGTACGTGCTTTGTCTCTAGCAGCCACCGTAAATATACTTTTATTTATTCACTCCACATAAAATGTAATAAATAAATCATATAATACAAAAACCAACTATTCACATTTCAACTTTTAACTATTTAAATTTTCATCTTTTTTCCTTTTAAACAAATTTAAAGTGAAACAACACAAAACTCTGCAAACCACAACAATTAAATATAAATTAAAATATGAAAACAAAAAGAACATGCACATTCTCTGTCATATGGACCTGCATGAATAAACTTTCTGAATCCTTTATCATCTGCAACTGAAAA